TTTCAAGTAGCTGGAACTACAGGCGCGCGCTACCACGTCCGGATAATTTTTGATTTATTGTAGTGATGAGGTCTCGCCAAGTTGCCCAGGCGGGACTCGAACCCGTGGGCTCAGGCAATCCACTCACCTCAGCCTCCCAAAGCGCTGGGATTACAGGCTGAGCCACCAAGCCCGGCTGGGCCAAGATTTGAAGGAGGAAGAGGAAGACGGAATGCGCTTCCCAGCCAGAAGGAATCTGGAATGAAACCTATGTTGAAATTTCTTGTTTTCTTAAATACTCCTGATAATTTTTTTTTTGAGTTGGCGTCTCACGTCATCGCCCAGGCTGGAGTGCAGTGGCTCCAGCATCGACCTGCTGGGCTCTGGAGATCCAGCCGCCTCGACCTTCCAAGTAGCCGGAACTACAGGTGCGCACTACCACGCCCGGCTAATTTTTTATTTATCGTAGCGTCGAGGTCTTGCCAAGTTCCCCGGGCTGGTCTCGAAACCGCGTGGGATTACAGACTGAGCCACCGAGTTCGGCCACCCCTGAGAATGTATCACCCTACTCCGCATTATGTTCGTTTATTTCATATAACGTTTTAGTCTCAAGTATTTTGGCAAAACCCAGAGCTGAAATCGCCTCATGTTTGACGGTTCGGCTCCGCTGACCCAGCACTCCCGGAGAAGCACGCGGGTCAGAGTCTGGGTCCCGCCCCCAGCTGTTCTCTGAGCCGGAGGCGGGCCCCGCTCCCGGCTCCGCCCCTCCGAGTACGTCACCACCGGAGACTGAGACTACGCGCATGCCCGGCGCGGTCTCACGCACGCGCTCTTCGCAGCCTCCCCTGACCTGTGACCCGCAGGCCGCCCTTGAAGCCCGGCTGCTGGGCCTCAAAACTGGAGCCGTCGTCCCCGACGCAGAGCGGCCACCATGGTGAGGCCCGCGCAGGGCGCTGCCCGGGGAGGGGAGGCCGGCCGGGGGGTGGGGGGAAGAGGCGGGGCGGCCAGCTCCGGACCGGGCTATGGGCACCGTGCGCCCCCAGCGTGCCCTGCAGGAAGCGGGGTCTGGAGGCGTTGCGCTCGGGGGCGCCGAGACTGGTGGCGGCAGCGACCTCGAATCGGGCTTGAAGGCACGGCGGGCTTGGCCGGCCTGAAATGACCCGGCACAGGTGGTTCCCCTGTGCCTGGCTCGTGTGTGAGCCGCTGTGGGCGGTGGAGGATGGGTCCGGCCCTTGAGCACCTGTCCCGCTCCGGAGCCTTAGCGCTCTGCGGAGTCGGCCTTGTCGCCCTGTTGTTAGCCGCATTTGAAAGTTCACTCTTCCAAGGATGTGACAGACCTGAGACTGGAACTGGGCCCCGAGACACTGAGCGGAGCGCTTGTGCGTTACTATCGGCACATGGAGCCAGTCCACATACACTGAGTGCGTCGGGTCTCCTGGGAAGCCTTTAAAAATGCAGGGTTTGAGCTGATCCCTGGAGGTTCCACATATATAAGTTCCCCAGGTGATTCTGTCGCTGCCGGTTTGGGGAGCCACTTAACTAATAATAATGATACTGTAATAGCGAACAGCTTACAAATGCCAGGCTCTGAGCAGAGGCTTTATGTAGATTCTCTCATTTAGTTCTTGCGAAGTCTTGCTGTCATTATTCCCATTTTACAGGTAAGGGGCCTGAAGCTGAGAGAGTTTAACTCCTCCAGGGCCATGTGTCCAATGGTGTCTCAGGACTACACATTTTTTTTTTTTTTTTTTT